ATCTTTTTCCACTGGTTAAGTTGTCGAAGGCTGATTTCTTGTCCTGTGATAAAAAGCCTTCCATTTACATCACCAAAGCTCTCAGGGGAGCATTTGCAACCGGTTGGCACCATTTTTGAGTGAATTGCCAAAAGTGAGATTTTTGCTGAAATTGTGACCCCGGGGCTTATGGATTTCTTCAAAAAAATCTTTCTCTCCCCGTTAAGTTGTTGAGGGCTGATTTCGTGTCCTGTGATAAAAAGCCTTCTGTTTCCATCGCCAAAGCTTTCAGGGGAGCATTTGCAACCGGTTGGCACCATTTTTGAGTGAATTGTCAAAAGTCAGATTTTTTCTGAAATTGTGACCGCGGGGCTTAGGGATTTTTTCAACAAAATCTGTTTCTGCCGGTTAAGTTGTCGTGGGCTGATTTCTTTTCCGGTGAGAAAAAGCCTTCTGTTTCGATTGCCAAACCTTTCAGGGGAGCATTGGCAAGCATTTGGCACCATTTTTGAGTGAATGGCCAAAAGTCACATTTTCGCCGAAATTGTGACCCAGGGCTTAGGGATTTTTTCAAAAAAATCTTTTTCCGCTGGTTAAGCTGTCGAGGGCTGATTTCTTGTCCTGTGATAAACAGCCTTCCATTTGCATCGCCAAAGCTCTCAGCGGAGCATTTGCAACCGGTTGGCACCATTTTTGAGTGGATTGCCAAAAGTGAGATTTTTGCTGAAATTGTGACCCCGGGGCTTCGGGATTTTTTCAAAAAAATCTTTTTCCGCTGGTTAAGCTGTCGAGGGCTGATTTCCTGTCCTGTGATAAACAGCCTTCCATTTGCATCGCCAAAGCTCTCAGCGGAGCATTTGCAACCGGTTGGCACCATTTTTGAGAGAATTGCCAAAAGTCAGATTTTTGCTGAAATTGTGACCCCGGGGCTTATGGATTTCTTCAAAAAAATCTTTCTCTCCCGGTTAAGTTGTCGTGGGCTGATTTCTTTTCCGGTGATAAAAAGCCTTCTGTTTCGACTGCCAATCCTTTAAGGGGAGCATTTGCAAGTGTTTGGCACCATTTTCGAGTGAATTGCCAAAAGTCAGATTTTTGCTGAAATTGTGACCCAGGCCTTAGGGATTTTTTCAAAATCATTTTTTTCCGCCAGTTAAGTAGTCGAGGGCTGATTTCTTGTCCTCTGATAAAAAGCCTTCTGTTTCGACCGCCAAAACTTTCAGGAGAACATTTGCAACCGGTTGGCACCATTTTTGACTGAATTGCTCAAAAGTCAGATTTTCACTGAAATTGTGAACCTGGGTTTAGGGATTTTTCAAAAAATCTGTTTCTGCTGGTTAAGTTGTTGAGGGCTGATTTCTTGTCCTGTGATAAAAGCCGTTCTATTTCCATCGCCAAAGCTTTCAGGGAGCATTTACAACCGGTTGGCACCATTTTTGAGATGAATTGCCAAAAGTCAGATTTTTGCTGAAATTGTGACCCCGGGACTTAGGGATTTCTTCAAAAAATCTTTTCCGCCTGGTTAAGTTGTTGAGGGCTGATTTCTTGTCCTGTGATAAAAAGCCGTCTGTTTCGACTGCCAATCCTTTAAGGGGAGAATTTGCAAATGTTTGGCACCATTTTTCAGTGAATTGCCAAATGTCAGATTTTTACTGAAATTCTGACCCCGGGGCTTAGGGATTTTTTCAAAAAAATCTTTTTCCGCTGCTTAAGTGTTCGAGGGCTGATTTCTTGTCTAGTGATAAAAAGCCTTCCATTTGCATCGCCAAAGCTCTCAGGGGAGCATTTGCAACCGGTTGGCACCATTTTTGAATGAATTGCCAAAAGTGAGATTTTTGCTGAAATTGTGAACCCGGGGCTTATGGATTTCTTCAAAAAAATCTTTCTCTCCCCGTTAAGTTGTCGAGGGCTGATTTCTTGTCCTGTGATAAAAAGCCTTCTGTTTCGACTGACAATCCTTTAAGGGGAGCATTTGAAAGTGTTTGGCACAATTTCTGAGAGAATTGCCAAAAGTCAGATTTTTGCTGAAATTGTGACCCAGGGTTTAGGGATTTTTTCAAAATATTTTTTTCCGCCGGTTAAGTTGCTGAGGGCTGATTTCTTGTCCTGTGATAAGAAGCCTTCTGTTTCCACCGCCAAAATTTTCAGGGGAACATTTGCAACCGGTTGGAACCATATTTGACTGAATTCCTGAAAGTCAGATTTTTGCTGAAATTGTGACCCCGGGGTTTAGGGATTTTTTCAAAAAAATCTTTTTCCGCCGGTTAAGTTGTCGAGGGCTGATTTCTTGTCCTGTGATAAAAAGCCTTCTGTTTCGACCACCAAAACTTTCAGGAGAACATTTGCAACCGGTTGGCACCATTTTTGACTGAATTGCCAAAAGTCAGATTTTTGCTGAAATTGTGACCCCGGGGTTTAGGGATTTTTTCAAAAAAATCTTTTCCGCCGGTTAAGTTGTTGAGGACTGATTTCTTGGCCTGTGATAAAAAGCCTTCTGTTTCGACTGCCAAACCTTTCAGGGGAGCATTTGCAAGTGTTTGGCACCATTTTTGAGTGAATTGCTAAAAGTCAGATTTTTGCTGAAATTGTGACCCCGGGGCTTAGGGATTTTTTCAAAAAAACCATTTTCCGCCGGTTAAGTTGTCGAGGGCTGATTTCTTGTCCTGTGACGGAAGTCCAGCCGTCATTAAATGGTGCTGTATAGCATTTGAATAAAGACACAGAGAGACAGCAATATTTTCAGGATGGTATGAGCAGCTCCTTTCGAACTTCTCTCCTCTCCGCTCTCTTTTATTATCCTTTGTTCTCTCCTGTCGCATGGCCGTTTGCCAATGTCTCATGTTACCTGCATCCGGTCATGGCTTAAACCCGCCCATCGCCATATAGGGTAATTACTGCCCAGAGGGGGAACATAACTCCATGTAAGGCTATGCACTTAATACACTGCAAGGCACGGACATGCAGGTCACCGAGGTCAGCGAGGCACCAGGTGGCGCTACAAGCCTTTGCCATGACTTCATGGCTCCCACATGCCCTCTTTCTTTCTTTTATTAATCAGAGTCGTATATATCAGTACCAATACGGTTATATCGAGCGCGATAGGCAACTCTTGTGAGGCCAGAGGCAAGCCGCTGACGGGAGAACCATGCAGTACATATAGAGGTTAAAGAAGGAATACGTTGTATACAGCAACACAAAATAATGCAAATAACTACTATAATGATCACTAAAATCAATAAATGTCGAAGCCAACTTCCATCCGTAAGCCAAGAATATAAGAATTCTGATTCCAAGCTGCATGGTAGGCTTCCTTTCTAGTTTATTAGCCATGCACTGGTGTCACTCCTATAGCACTGAGATTGGTCACTGTATGTTCCTGTAAGAGAACAAGAGCTATTAAAAGTGAAATTCAATGTATATTGTCAGGGGTTCAGGGACAGAGGCACAGGGTAGGCAGGAGATGGAGAGCGATGGGGATGAATCCCAGGACAGCGAGGAAGAGGAAGACAATGACTCAAGAGATTCCATGAGTCTTTCCAGCGAATCAGAGGATTCCCAGAAGGGGGCGCCGGTGGTCAAGCCCAGGGGAGCCCCAGGGGGGACGTGTCAGGAGCAGGGGGCCAGCTGGGCATCCCAAAGTGGCAGCTGGGTGTCAGGACCAGCCTCCCCGCCAGAGTGCAGCGAAGGGGGTGGAGGTGTCAGTGTGTCAGGGGAAGCGGCTCCGGCAGCAGAGAAAGGAGGGAGGTTGGAGCAAGCCATCCTCCTGGAAGGGGAGGGGAGCAGTGAAGGGAGTAGTGTAGCTGTTGAAAGGAAGGTTAGAGGCTGGGCGCGCGCGCCAAGTTCAAATGTAGAGGCGCGCGGAAGTACAGGGAGCCCGGAGGAGGGGCCAGGTCCCAAAGCCCGCAGGAGGGGGCAAGAGCAGTCTGATTCCGCGTCAGAGGAATCCAGGAGGGGCGAAACCCCAGCGGGCAGAAGGACCCTGCGGAAAGGAAAGAGAGAAAGAGGTGGAGCAGCACAAGCATCTTAAATTGGTGCAGGGGAGGGACGGATTCAGAGGGGACTTCAGCGGTCTAAGCGTAGCAGACGTAGGGCTGCGCGCCTAGGATGTCGAGCAAACAATGAACTGCAATAAACACTTTTGTATATAAGAAGACATTGGCGTTGGTCTTTAGTGAGCTGAGACTTGAGGCAGCCCTGACATATATTGACAGTTTGGATTTATGCCCCATGATTCTTTCCCCTCTTTAATTTGAAAACAAATGGGGGCAGGCTCATGGAGGGTCAATTGTACTGGAGGCCAAAAAGTTTGCTTAGGACATATAATATTAGTAAATTGAAAAGATCCATTGACAGGCACACCATGAAGCATTATGCCTGAATGACTGGCAAAAGGCGTCATGTGCATACACAACCAACATTTAGAAGCATGCAATAAACCGGTAAACATAATCATATCTTGTACAAAAATATTATCCCTCCATATCTTATGATAATTTTCTCCCCTAAAAGTCTTATTCAACAACGCTGTTCTTCTAGTTCGAAAGTGGCTGAGCCGTGTATACTGCCAGCCAGAGTAAGATTCAGGCGACAGCTGCTTGCGAGCCAATAAGGTGAAATATGGTGGTTTCAACTGGACTGGGTCGTCTGCTTCTCTTCCTTGTATAACGGTGCAGCAAAGGATGGCAAGGCAATGGTGAGGAAGGCAAACACTGCCAGATGCAGCTCATGTGCAGCACCTCTAGGTGGCGCATGCGGAAAGGTTTCAATGCTTCACCCACAAAATGTTGACAAAGTGTAGGGGAGTTCCGCATGCCCTGAGGCAGGACAACCCACTGATATCGCTGGGTGGGCTGCGAATTGTTATATACTGGCAATGTAAAAGCAAACCGTTCCCTGTCTGCTGGAGCCAGTGGGATGAAGATGGTTCAATGTGGCCGAAAGTCAATTGTTCAGAAATAAGCTGTTCAGAACCAAGCTGGTGCCGCTGCTGCGGATTTTTCTTTTGGTAGAGGCCACTGTTCTACCCACACTGGGGTATCGGTGATCCTGGTTTGCCACACTGGAAACAAGTTGTATCGGTGGCTACAGGCTGGTTTTCATTTAGCGCTGCTGCCAGCAGATGAGCCTTGTGGGTGGCTGTACCTACAGACTGACAAATGTGAAGCATGGCTGCTGTGTCTGTGGCAGGATTGTGTATTATCGGTCGCAATGCAAGTTTACAATCCTCATTGGCATTTTCAAAGGCCAGTTGTTTGATGATTATTTGTTTGGCTTCAGGATTTTCAATTTGGCGACTCACTGCTGTAAGCAGCCTGTCCATAAAGGAAGAATATGATTCTCTTGCCTCTTGCCTGATTGAACCCCACCTTGATTGAATACTGGGTTCTGGGATTTTTCTCATTGCTTGTTTAGCAGCAAGAGCGGTGTCCCTCAATAAGATTTGCAGCAGTGTGGCTTGCACTGAAGCCTGAACGAAGGGACCACGCCCCATCATGGCATCTATGACGTCTGCGAGGGTAATATTTGGATTATTTCCTCTGACTTGTTGTAACAAGCCCGGAGCATAAGCACGGCAGGCAGTTTCCCATTCGTGGGCAAACAAAACACCAGCTGATGGGGGTAACACTGTATGGGCCAAAAGCTTGATGTCCTCTGGAACCAAGAGCTGGGCTAATGTGGCTTCTAAAAGCGCCTGCGTATATGGGGCTGGAGTCCATTGGCCTTTACTGACTGTTGCAGCTCTTTCAAAATCTTAAAGTCAAAAGGTTGGTGTTGGGCTTGGGTGCCTGCCGGGGCACCAGCAGGGGGCACAATAACAGGGAATGCCATAGTATCCTAAATTAAGGAACAGGCAAGGACTGCACGCTGAAAAGGGGTAGCTGGTTCTGCCGCTGAAAGAGCAGGATCATTGCCAGCCAGACCACGGTATTTTTGCAGGATTGGGTCCTCTGGTGAGGAACTGTAGTCCGGAGGTTTGGGGTCTGGGGCTGCTGGCAAAGCAAGTATCAGAACAGACGCTAACACAGCAGGCTGGACTAAGGAAGCTGGAGGTTGTGTTGGCAATGCAGCCATGGAGATATTTTTTGGTGATAAAAAGCCCATGGCGTAACAAACCTTGCACCATGCATTTAGAATCCGAATACCAACGCCCATGAAAATGTGCCCCAATCTTGTCCCAATGTTTCAATTCCCAAGTCCCATCTGCAGGAAACCAGTGGCAATGCTCATCAATGGCCAGAATAAGCTGTATCAAATCACCCTCCGGAACTTCAAATTTGTTGGAGAAGAGGAGAATTTTTAAGTCTTTTATAAATTTCTGTTGGGGAGTAGACAAAGAGCTGCCCATTTTTCTAAAATCCAGATAAAAGAGGGATCGAACTCACCGGGATCTTTTTAAGATGTGAAGCGCTTGCAACCCTTGCCGGGCGTGGTGAGCTGATGATATCCGTTGCATGGATCGAAAAACCTCACACGGTTTTCTTTAAAAGCCTCAGACGTATTCTTTTAGTCAGCCTCACACGGGGCGCCACTTGACGGAAGTCCAGCCGTCATTAAATGGTGCTGTATAGCATTTGAATAAAGACACAGAGAGCCAGCAATATTTTCAGGATGGTATGAGCAGCTGTTTTCGAACTTCTCTCCTCTCCGGTCTCTTTTATTATCCTTTGTTCTCTCCTGTCGCATGGCCGTTTGCCAATGTCTCATGTTACCTACATCCGGTCATGGCTTAAACCCGCCCATCGCCATATAGGGTAATTACTGCCCAGAGGGGGAACATAACTCCATATAAGACTATGCACTTAATACACTGCAAGGCACGGACATGCAGGTCAGCGAGGTCAGCGAGGCACCAGGTGGTGCTACAAGCCTTTGCCATGACTTCATGGCTCCCACAGTCCTGTGATAAAAAGCCTTCTGTTTCGACTGCCAAACCTTTCAGGGGAGCATTTGCAACCGTTCGGCACCACATTTGACTGATTTCCCGAAAGTCATATTTTTTCTGAAATTGTGACCCCAGAGCTTAGGGATTTTTTCAAAAAAATCTTTGTCCGCTGGTTAAGTTGTCGCGGGCTGATTTCTTCCCTTTAATAAAAAGCCTTCTGCTTGCATAGCCAAAGCTTTCAGGGGAGCATTTGCAACCGGTTGGCAACATTCTTGAGTGAATTGCCAAAAGTCAGATTTTTACTGAAATTGTGACCCCGGGGCTTAGGGATATTTCAAAAAAATATTCTCCGCCGGTTAAGTTGCTGAGGGCAGATTTCTTGTCCTGTAATAAAAAGCCTTCTGCTTGCATAGCCAAAGCTTTCAGGGGAGCATTTGCAACCGGTTGGCACCATTTTTCTGTAAATCGCCAAAGGTCAGATTTTTGTGAAATTGTGACCCCGGGGTTTAGGGATTTTTTCAGAAAAATCTTTTTCCGCCGATTAATTTGTCGAGGTCTGATTTCTTGTCCTGTGATAAAAAGCTGTCTGTTTCGCCCGCCAAACCTTTCAGGGGAGCATTTGCTACCGGTTGGCACCATTTTTGAGTGAATTGCCAAAGTCAGATTTTTGCTGAAATTGTGACCCCAGGGCTTAGGGATTTTTTTAAAAAAATCTTTGTCCGCTGGTTAACTTGTCGCGGGCTGATCTCTTGCCTTTAATAAAAAGCCTTCTGCTTACATCGCCAAAGCTTTCAGGGGAGCATTTGCAACCGGTTGGCACCATTCTTGAGTGAATTGCCAAAAGTCAGATTTTTGCTGAAATTGTGACCCCGGAGCTTAGGGATTTTTTTAAAAGAATCTTTTTCTACCAGTTAAGTTGTCGATTGCTGATTTCTTGTCCTGTGATAAAAAGCCTTCTGTTTCGATCGCCAAACATTTCAGGGGAGCATTTGCTACCGGTTGGCACCATTTTTGAGTGAATTGCGAAAAGTCAGATTTTTTCCGCAGGTTAAGTTGTCGAGGGCTGATTTCTTGTCCTGTGATAAAAAGCCGTTTGGCACCATTTTATAGTGAATTGGAGAAATTGTGATTTTTGCGAGAAAAAACCTTCTGTTTCCACCGCCAAACCTTTCAGGGGAACATTTGCAATCGTTTGGCACCATTTTTGAATGAATTGGAGAACGTCAGATTTTTGCGGAAATTGTGACCCCGGGTCTTAGGGATTTTTTCAAAAAAATCTTTTTGCGCACGTCAAGTTGTGGAGGGCTGTTTTCTTCTTCTTTGATAAAAAGCCTTCTGTTTCGACCCCCAAGCCTTTCAGGGGAACATTTGCAACTGTTTGGCATCATTTTGGAGTGAATTGGAGAAATTGATGTTTTTGCTGAAATTGTGACCCCGGGGCTTAGGGATTTTTTCAAAAAAATCTTTTTCCGCAGGTCAAGTTGTGGAGGCTGACTTCTTGTCCTGTGATAAAAAGCCTTCCGTTTCGACCGCGAAACCTTTCAGGGGAGCATTTGCAACCGTTTGGCACCATTTTTGAGTGAATTGGAGAACTTCAGATTTTTGCGGAAATTGTGAACCCGGGGCTTAGGGATTTTTTCAAAAAAATTCTTTTTTCCGCAGGTCAAGTTGTGGAGGGCTGCTTTCTTGCACATTGGATCAGAACTAGGGTTGCCACCTTTGGTTGGGCAAAATATGTGACGTGTCGGGCAAAATAAAGGGCAGAATAATGGTCGCCATTTTGGGCCAGCCAAACTTGAATGGGGGGGGGGGAGGCCTCCCGTTTGAACAGGACAGGGGACACTTTTGTCCAAAAAGGGGCAATCCCATTTTTCTAGGGCCAGATAGCAACCCTAATCAAAACCACTAGATTAAGCCAAATAGTCGGAATTTTTGTTGAGTGTTATTCATTAGAACTGATAATTTTCAATGAATGTGCAGCATTTTAGCCATAGTTCTAATACATTTCTAATGGTCCAGTCATTCTAACGTTCATTTTACCATGGGTGGGTGAGGAAACAATAATAAACTCTGTTTTCTTCCTTTCAAGATAAGTGAGAGGTAAATGTCCGGTAGGAAATGTTGAAGTCATCTATCTCTCTTGTAATTCTGGCCTTATTAAGGCATGGACAACTTCAGAACATTTCTAGACGGCTATGGATGAAGTTGGAATGTTTGTTAAAGAATGAAAAATGTCAAGGTTAACTTTGCACTCGCACAAAACAGACCTGCCTTTTTTTGTCTTTCTCCAACTGCTCTTCTCATTCACCCTCCTGTGGAAAATATTATTTTGCTGTTCCCACTTCCTCCATGGGTAGGAAGTTTCAGGGGCAGCTATTTACGGGGTCAGTTCCTCCGTGAGGAGGGAGGACTGGAAAATGATTGTGGTTTCAAAATTGCTATTTGTGAATTGGCTAACTTTGCACCGGGGGAGCAGGCAGCAGGGTTGGCGCGAGGGATTGCACAGTGCCTGCGGCAGACGATGGCTTTGCATTCACCCCACTCTTATTCCTGCCGCCTCCCAGCGTCCTCTTCACTGGGTTGGTACTACAGTGGTACCTCAGGTTACAGACGCTTCAGGTTACAGACTCTGCTAATCCAGAAATAGTACCTCGGGTTAAGAACTTTGCTTCAGGATGAGAACAGAAATTGTGCTCTGGCAGCGTGGCGGCAGCAGGAGGCCCCATTAGCTAAAGTGGTGCTTCAGGTTAAGAACAGTTTCAGGTTAAGAACGGACCTCCGGAACGAATTAAGTTCTTAACCCGAGGTACCACTGTATTCTTCTTCCCTGCCACTGCCTCATTACTTCCCCTCTTCCCCCCTCTACAGTAGTGGACAGTTTCTCAGCTGTCGCCTCTCTCTGCCTCAGTGCCTTGTTCTGAGGAAGGGCCACAGGGGCCTCATGCAGGGAATGCCTCTCTCTGAGAAAGGACCCCCGTGGTCCTTCTTCCAATTAAGGCATGGAGGAAGAGATGAAGGGGACACTGGGTTTTGTATTATTATTTACGATTCTCCCCATAGATTCATTCCACACTATCGGTGCCGGATTGACGTATAAGCTAAACAAGCTATAGTTTAGGGCCCCACTCTCTTGGGGGCTCCAAAAAAAATTAAAGGGGAAAAAAACTGGGTGTACATTTCCAAAATATAAGATAAAATAAAATAAAATAAAACCTACATACATCAACAGTGTTTTGTGTTGTATAGGCTCCCATGATGTAAGTAATGGGCCCCGCCTGCTAGCCTGCTCCCTAAAATATCACTGGTTTGCTCATTTCTATATCAATTACTTTGATAAAATACATATTTCGTTATGTGCAAATGGCTTTAGATACCCATTAGGTCCATAAATTACCATATAGCATATATTCAACACACAAAACAGCGACA